CATCCTCCCAGGAAGAACAGCTTTATAGTCTGGAGATGGCTGCCAGGTCACACCGTTGATGCACACAAAGAAAGCAGCCAGTGAGCACACGTGTTAATCCATTATTATTTATTAGCTGTACAGCAGTATATTCTCCTTCCCAGCTTTCAAACCCCATTACATATTTTATAACAGTATTTTTTCCCCATGTTGGCTTCCTAAAATAATGAAAAATATCACACAGTACAGCTAAGTACAAAAATGCATCAACCTAGAGTCTGATAGCTAAACTGATAGCTCTCTTAAAAGCGATACATAGAAGAAAAATTTGTTTGAAATCAGCAAGACTGAGGCTCTATAAAAAGCTTACATATTTTAACATGTGACATTTTCATATACAGGCATCATTTGTATTTCACATTATTCCTTTTTTTGTCTTTATCAGAGATTCAAAAATTGTAGAATTACTGACCTATTAATAAAATTTCCTGGCCCAGGTTTTGAGGGCTGCAGTGACCCACTTAAAAATCACCACTTCTGCCTTAACAATAGGATTCATAAACACAAAATACAACTACAAGATAGAGCAAAGAAAATGTAGTCGTGAAATCATAACTCAAAAAGAAGGTTAATTATACATATTTCAAATTGGTTGGATGGTCACATCCAGAGGGCAGTGGCCAACAGCTCAGAGTCCTGATGGGACATCAGTGACAAGTGGTGTCTCTCGGGTCCACACTGGGACCAGTGTTATTTAGTATCTTCATTATTGACAGAGATGAAGGGATCGAGTGCACTTTCAGCTAGTTTGCAGATGACACTAAGCTGAGTGGTACAGTTGACACACCTGAAGGACAGGATGCCCTCCAGAGGGACCTGGACAAGCTCAAGAAGTGGCCCATGGGAATCTCATGGGGTTTAACAAGACCAAGTGCAAGGTGCTGCACTTGGCTTGGGGCAACCCCTGGTATCAATCCAGGCTGGGGAGGAACAGACCAAGAGCAGCCCTGCCGAGGACTTGGGGGTGCTGGTGGAGGAGCGGCTGGACAGGACCAGCCATGTGCGCTGGCAGCTCAGAAAGCCAACAGTGTCCTGGGCAGTGTGGGCAGAAGGTAAAGGGAGGGGATTCTGCCCCTCTGCTCTGCTGAGATCCCACCTGCAGCACTGCATCCAGCTCTGGGACCCCAGCACAGAAAGAACATCAACCTGCTGGAGCAAGTCCAGAGGAGGCCACAAAGATGATTAGAGTGATGGAGAACCTCTCCTGCAAGGAAAGGCCAAAAGCTGGGGTTGTTCAGCCTGGAAAAGAAAAGGCTTCAGGGTGACCCAACTGTGGCCTTCTAGAACCTGCAGGGAGCCTACAAGAGCTGGAGAGGGGTTTTTGACAAGGTCATGGAATGACAGGACAAGGGGGAATGGCTTCAAACTGACAGGGGGCAAGGTTAGATTGGATTTTGGGAAGTGAGGCACTGACACAGGTTGCCCAGAGAAGTTGTGGCTGCCTCATCCCTGGAAATGTTCAAGGCCAGGTTGGATGGGGCCCTGAGCAACACAGTCTAGTGGGAGGTGTCCCTGCCCACAGCATGAGGGTCTGAAACTACATAATCTTTAAAATCCCCTCCAACCCAAGCCAGACCATGAGTCTATGAAATACCAGTTTTTTGTGCTTCAAAACCAGATTTCACACGTGGGTTTCTCTTGTTCTGCAAGCAATAGCCTGGGTACATCTCTTGTCTACACAACTGGTTATCAACAGCTTTTCCAACATTTACACTCTATCAATTCTCTTGTCACTTAGTTTGAAAGGAATTACAATACTGGGGTTTATTTAAATGGCATTTTTGCATACCTCTTAATTAATGGAAAAAGATTAAAATGTAAAAAAAAAAAACAAACGTTATTTACAAGCTTGACCATTACAGAAATGCTTTGCAGAAAGCAAAGCATATTAAGGACAGAAACCAGTTGGAGCATGCCAAAACTACCGTGTGCAGCTGACTTGGAGAACCGGAGCTAGTCAGTGGGAAAAAGCAAAAAAAAAAAACCCAAAAAAAAAAAACCCAAAAACATTTCGTAAGTCTAAAACCCTCCCAAGTCTGCATTTACAGTTAAAAACACTACTGAGAAAAGAGGCTCAAGGACTCTGGGAACTGGAAGGGCAAGTCCGGAGTGGTTTTCCACATACTCTAGTCAAGGCTTCCGCTTTTGTATATTAAAACTCGATGCATGTAAACACGGCCCTTGGACCAGCTTTACAATGCAGTTCAGAGCAAAACTAAAATCAAGCATCTCACAGGAAACCCTCAAGGACTCCAAAATATTTCCTAATGTTCCATGATCCTGTAATGCTAACATAAAACAGCAAGTTCTAGTTAAATCACATTCTAACATCGTTTTATTTCCCAGTATGTTTGGTAAAATGGTCTAAAATGATGCATTTCCCAAAGCCAAGAAAAAAGATTAAAGGAAAAATAGATTTGAGCCGCTTAAACACAGCCCAGGCCAGTTCAGTCAGCCAGCGTGGTCGTCCTCCATCACCGGTCCATCATGCTGAGAATCATCTCAGGGGTGAGGTCTCCGTTAGGAGCTTCCACTACACCAGGCTGACCTTCCTCTTCCTCTGCTGTTTCCGCATCAGGTTCTTTCTTCACTTCAACTATAATGTTTTCAATTTCACCAGTGTGCTGGTCTTCAACCTGAATGATTGCTGCAGCTAGAAGGGCAGAAAACAAAAGGGGGGAGGGGGGGAACACATTACTACTGGTTCCAGAGTTGGTCTGCATGCCTCAAACAGCTTTTGGGTAGGTAAGACTTAAGACTCTTCCATGGAAAGGCAATGTGGGGCCCACAACACCTTCTCATGTTAGTGGGGAGTGATTCAACCACCTCACTCCTCCAAGTATAAGCACCTATTTCCTTGCCCCTGTGTGAAGATGTGGTTCCAGTTACCATTTTTTGATAGAGCAATCAACAAAAAACCCCATATCAATGTTTGGGCCGAAGGCAAAACCTGAAATCCAGGGGAATCTAGTTATGCTAGTGACAAATTCACCCTAAAATGCTTCCATAGACTAATTCCACAAAGGACACAGGACACATTTTTAGCACTGAGCAGATAGCCAAGCCACTGAGGAAGCCACCACCTCCCTGAAGGAGGAAATCTACCCTTCCTGCTTTGTACCTAGAATGCAACAAACGTCTGTTCTCACGGAGAAAAGCCTGCAGAGTTGAAACTACACCTGCACTGGTCCTGTACTTGGAACAACAGGCCTGAAGCATGTTTGTTCATGCAGTACCTGCAAAAGCCTACACAGGTAAGAATACCACAGTGGTTGTACTGACAGCTGCTTTACCAGAAACTGGACATCAACTGAGACATGGATGCTAAAAGTGAGCAGTTTGCACAGCTATGAAATGAAATACTACTAGAGAAAAAATAACGTTCTTTCTTTTTAGCATGGCCTGAAGTGGCAATGTTCCCTCATAGCCAGGAAACCCTTGCAACAAATTTCAAGGTGAGTCGTTGGCAATGTAGACACAAGTACAGTTATCTAATTTTAAAGTAAGCTCACTTAAAGGGATCAGATCTCCTACAAGAGCTGCCAAATCCAAGGAGAAAGGTGCTCATGCACACAGCAAAAGGTAAGCTTCGATTAGCGACTTACGCTGGGATTGTTTTGGTTGGGTGGCCGTTTTGCCTGGTGGTCTTCCTCTTCGTTTCTTACTGGGAGGTGGTGCAGGAGCCTCTTGCTCAACTTCTGGTTCAGCCTCAATTTCTACTGCTGTCTCTTCCTCATCTTCATTATCATCCAAATCTGGCTCAGCATTTTCCTCTGTAAAAAATATGATCTCATATCAGTCTTCAATTTAAACAAGAATGAAACACATCCATCTACAGAGAAGCACCATCAAATCCTCATCCAAAATGAGTCACCTCTGATGAGAAAGAAAGCAAACAAGGCCTTTGTCAAGAAGCTGGTGGCAGTTAGTCAGTTGCCCTCACATTAGAGGGAACAAGATGCCCTTCAAAAAGCAAAAGGAAACTTAATTATGTTAGATAATGCGGTAAAAGCTACTCTGCACATCCACAAAGGAGCTCACAGACACAACAGCAGGAAGAGGACCAGATAATACACTGCTGGGCTACTCCCAGGCCCATCAGATGAGCCACCAGCCCTTCCCAGTCCCAACCTGCACAACCCAGAGGAACACAAGGTTGCACAACAGAAGGTGGGAACCCAAATCCACAACTTCTGAGGAACAAACAACTTGTCCAGGCTATTCCCAGGAGAGCCACCAGCTCCAGCTCCAGATGTGAAACCCATTACAATGAGTCAGGAGGAACAGCTCTCCAGATCACCTTTCAGACTATGGGGTGTTGGGGAATTCCTGGCTGGGTGTGGGACACACAATGGGATGCAGGGGAAAGGCAGTTTTGTACTACACAGGACAACTTGTGGGATGTTTACAGGAGGGGCTGAGGTGATTTGGAGAGTGTGGGGAAACTAGCGGATAAAAGGAGTCAGTCCCAGGTAAGTAGCTGAGCAGCCACTACAGTATCTCTATGAATGACCAGAACACCTAGAGATCCAAGAGCCAGTCTCCTAGCCCTCCAGCTCTACACTTTATTCTTCAAAATGCTCCTTAAAACTACTAGGTTAGGACCATCGACACATTCATAATGCCCTGGGCAAAACCAGGGCAGACCAAAACCAGGGAGAGATGTTGAGTAGGGTAATATTGTTTGGACAGAAAAATGACTAAAGGGAATAAACCCAACCCAAACCATCCCTTTCCTACACTGAGGCATGTATATGCTGCATTATTACACAGTCACTCAAGGCACATTCCCCATGAGAAATTTCTTTCACTTACTGGATTTCTGAGGTCCCATCTGTTTAGAGTTCTTTATATCCTCCCCTCACTCAGTGTCTATCAGGTAACGTTCTGTCTAATGCTGGGCAGACAGGAGACAAAACTATAATTCACTAATTGGCCTTTTCCTGCCATTAACACAAGTTGGTCTGTCCCAGCTTTGCTCACCATTTTTAGGTATTTAGCAGCTGCCAAAACTCTTGAAACTGCACATGTCCAGATAAACACAACAGTGAATAATGCAATTCCTCAAACAGGTGGTAAGAACATCTTTTTTATGCTACTCAGCTCACACTGGTCAATTTTCCACATCTATCAAAAGACTCCTGAGGAAGTCAACCCAGACTTGTCACCTCCACTGAGGCTGAAGGGATTTCCTCAACCATGGAAGCTGAGCATCACGCAGTGCTCAGCACTAACTCACTACAAAGCCTGACTTTTGACCAGCTTGGCCCCCCCAAACAACTGTTTTAAACCCAGACCATATCAACTAAATAAAATGCAGGTTTTTAGAACAGGCTAAACTCCCAGGAAGCCTACAAATCAGATATTAAAAATCTGATACTCCAGAATCCCAGATTTTTAATTATCTTCCATCAAAAGGGTTACTTTACTCTGCTTCCATTCTATTTCCATATTTTCAACAAACAGTGCTTAATTCAACCGACTGTGACCCTTCTTTTCAAACATGAGTTTAAGCACCAATTTCTATAGAGTTTTTGCAGTCAGGATTTGCAAGCCGTTTGATCATACTCATCCTAAAACTTTTATGCCACATAAGAATTTCAGATATGCATTCTCTAGCCAGAAGTATCCCTATCCTCCCAACCTACCCTCCTAGATCAATTACATAAAGAACTCCAGACAAAAAGACACCGCACACTCCTTCAGCAGAGTTATCTTTGCACTGATAGAGTTTTTGCAGTCAGGATTTGCAAGCCGTTTGATCATACTCATCCTAAAACTTTTATGCCACATAAGAATTTCAGATATGCATTCTCTAGCCAGAAGTATCCCTATCCTCCCAACCTACCCTCCTAGATCAATTACATAAAGAACTCCAGACAAAAAGACACCGCACACTCCTTCAGCAGAGTTATCTTTGCACTGTCT